CCCAGCTCGATGACTTTCATCATGCTCAAGAATTCCCTCAGGTCCCGTATGAGAGCGAACACAACGAATTTCAACCACATGGGATAGAAATGGACGTGGATACCCGAAGATCACTCAGCTGCTGTTAATGAACACAGTGATAATCCACTGTCCAATTACTTGGATACTCCGACGGATGAATCGGACTGTTTTAATATGGATGTTGACGTAGACATCAGTGAAAAAAGCCACATGAACGTATTGATGAAGGAATGCATTCGAAAATACGGAACTGGGCAATACGAAATATTGGGGAAAATGAATCTGTGTGTAGTGACTGTTCTCTTAAAAGTGCTAAATAGTGAGGGGTACACAGATCTAACTTTATGTGTGAATACACTCTTAGGATTCCCTCATGCCATAAAATCTCAATGTATGGTGTCGAAAAAAAATACTGTCAGTGAATACGTATACTTGGGAATCAGAAATGGGTCAGAAAATGGCATTAAAGGGGATGTGTTTAAGGAAGATAACATTCTTGCGTTTCTTGTGACCATATTACCTGAAGTGTTTGTTGATACTGTTCAAAGTGACTACTAACACAATATTAATTTTATTTGTTTTATTTTTCAGATGTCGTAGTGAAAAAATATCCTCAATTGACTATGAATATTGAGAATTATACAGGGAAGTATCTGTCTTGGGCTCCAGATCGCGACGGAGGTCGCGCGAATAGGGCATAGAAAGCAACATGTTCACACTCGTTAGATCGCTGACTCGATTTAATTAATTTATTATGGATGTTCGTTGACTCGATTTAATGTGTTTATTATTCGTGTTCGTATTCATATCAATTCACTTCGATGTTCACTTTTGATGTTAATATATTATTCATGTTTTGAATAAATACCCATTGTTGTATTTTTCATATCTGCAGTATTCCTTTATTTTTCTGTCAATTCTACTGAGTGATTATATTGACCCAATCCTGAAACATTGGTACGTTCAGCCTTGGCTTGAATTCCAATTTGAGTCATGGCCCAGTTCTGAATTACGAGCATCAACCAATTTTCCTTCCCCCAGCATCGGACCGAGGATCTGGTCTTAACCTTTGGTCCGATGTGACATCCCATCTCCGAGCAAGCCTAGATTCGTGTCCAAATCAGAGTTACCGCATCCCTCGGTACAATTGAACCAAGTCTGAGCCACGGCTGGCCCAGTTGTCCCATCTTACCTGGGTTTCACTTATCTGACCCTTAGATTCGCGTAATCTTTTGGACTCAACTCACCCTTATACTCAATTGATCCTTATATTCAACTAACCCTTCTGACCCTTGGACCCAACTCACCCTTCAGACGCATGATTGTTTGAACTTCGAACTAATGTTATTAATGTACTAATACTAATAATTTAGTTACGTGAGTCTTTAACACGGTAATGAATTTTTTAATTATCGTCAATAATGACCTTGATATAATCAAATGTGGACGTTGAAACTTACAACGTACGTTAACAGAAAACAAACGTCATTACCGTTGAGAGTACGTTTAATATACGGTGGATATTGAGTGTTTTTCAACGTCCATGGGCCTTCACGTTGAGAAAAGTTGAAAGTACGGTAAAAATTCGGCGGAGAATTTGAACATCAAAGCAAAATTCTAATTGTACTCGGGAGAGAACACCCGGGTCCCCCGCGTGACAATCCCACAGTCTAACCACACAGCTATGGCCGTCGGTACGAAAATCTACTTATTAATTTTAAGTAGTTCTCATCGACTTGGATTGAGTACATCCAAACAATGTCAAGTCGAATTGGTGACTTGATTCAAGTCAAGCTTGATTCAGGTCAATCTTTACTGAGCTCAACTCGGCACTCTACACGGAAATATTCAGTAAAAATTACAGAACAATTCACGTAATCCGCAATGGGGAATCGTTTTTTGGTAATTTTTATAGAAATGGAAGAGAAGAAATCTGAAACGGTCAGTGAATTTTCAGGTTCATCACCGAACAAAGTACGAAATTTTCACGTAATTTTTTCCGAACAAGTAAATAACTTCCCGACTTATTATGCCTGCAAAATCAAAAATTTTTGAATGTTCAACAATTATTATGAAGGTGGTGAGTTATTTCTACGTTCCGTTCTGTAAAATTTCTCAAACGTTGGGGAAAAATTACGGAACGACTTGTCCTCACAGCGGTGAGTCATCGGACGAATGGTTAATTTTTACGAAACAAATCGTAAAATTTACGTGGCGATTCGTACAATTTCAGTTCCGACTCCCACTTTTTATTGAATTTTACTTCGCTCGCGGATTACATTTTGAAACGTAATTTTTACGTTTTTTTCTGGTAATTTTTATTGAATTTTTCTCTCCGCGTACATGATTCAAATCCCTATCGATTTGAATCAAGACATTTTTTATTGTGCAGATTTGATATTTTCGTTTATTTTACTTGTAAATGCAACGAAATCTAACCAAAGTTCAAATTTTAAGTAAAACGTAAAAAAACACTTTTGTCCAAAAATTTCTTCAACTTAATGAACAATTTACCCGTTGTTAGAGCTTATTCCATAAGCTTCCCAGTTGATACAAAATTTCTGCTAATCAAGTCAAAAAACAGTAATTCATGACAAAACGCTAAAAAAAAGTAGCGTAGCATTTTCAATTTTGGGAACGTGAAATTCAACGCATAATCACCCATAACAGTTGATGAATTGGATGGAGTGAAAAAACTTCATCCAATTTCAAATGTCATGTTGAAGATGTCGTTGAGATCTTCAAATGGATATATGATTAATCCTTATTGGTCAACTCCGGAGGTCCGATAATTGATACAAATAACCAATGTCGGAGTGCGAGTTAACATTTAAAAGGGAAACAATAATCAATAACTTCATGAAAATTCAATCAAATTACATGCAATACATCAAAATTTGAAGAACGGAAAATGCTTTTTAAGTAATTCCAGTTATTTGGCTGAAAACAAAAAAAAAAAATCCAGCCAAAGCTGAATTTTAAAATAAAACATGGAAAAACCAATTTCCACCTAAAACTTTCATAATTCTATGGAAAATGATCAGTAGTAATACCCCGAGAGCTTCAAAATGATCGGGTATTTCCCGATAGCTTCGTTGCAAACAAACGAGTGTCAAGTTTTGTAGGAAAATCCCTTACGCTTCGCGCTCGGGATTTTTAAACCTACAAAACTTGACACGATCCTTTGTTTGCAGGGAAGATTGAGGGAAATACCCGATGCATTTTGAAGCTCAAGGGGTATTTGGAGGAGTATTTCCTCCATCGGAATTTCGGTCACTGGAGGGCAGCATTTGATGTCAATGTGGTACAACCTACACTTTCGCATTTCAATTATTTTGTTTATTCTCCCTTAGCAACATGCCGTAGTTTTACCAAATATTACCGATATAAAACCGTGTAGGTTGTACCACGTGACATCAAATGCGGCCCTCCTATTGGCCGAGATTCCGGTGGGGGAAATACTCGAAATTAAACCATTTACCCCTGAATTCAAACCTCCAGCTATTCTCAACTTACATTTCAATTAAATCCGTAATTTTCAATAATACCCATTATACATAACCAGAATGACAGGAAACGGCAATTCAATGCGCTCATTATTACCAACACGCGCCTTACACTTTCTACGAAATTGCCCACGCACTGTTTTTTCCACTGTTCGGCAGGTTTTTTTCTCATTTATTCATGATTTCACTTTTGCGCTCGTGCAGTGGAACAAATTGGTTCATTTGAGTGTGATAATTGTGCAGAAAAGTTGAACAAAATTGCGGAAAAATAAAATATTTGTGAAAGTTCAGCAAATTTATGAAAGATAAGTTTTTCAATGGACTCGGGTCTTCAACCTGAGATTTGAAAATGGAAAAAAAGATATTTTCGGCGATTGTCTTCGGTGCACTAATTCCTCATATTTTTATATTTTTATCGCAGTCTTCATCTGCACTGGAAGTCATAAATAATGAATGAGCTCCAATAAACATTGACGGTTTTATTGATTTTCTATTTGCAGAGAGTTTCGTGTAGGCGATTGTTATGCCCTTGACTGCCCACTAGTTTAGGGAAAAAATGGAATCGTGTTCCTACGTATTTTTATGAGCTCGATTGGAAACTGGGTTAAAGATGAAGGGGAAATAATGAGGCTTCTTTAATGATCATCTGGTGATCATCTGTCATTATCTTGCTAAATATGGGCGGTTGACAAAAATGTTGTACAAAAAGATTGTTCAGCTGTGAATAACGGACATTTTTTATGGAAGTTGTTGTCTGTGCCCCTTATTCTCGTAAATGTTAATCATTATTTATGGAATAATCTTCAATAAACAGTGAAATCTAAAGGTCCTGTACAAAATATTTCGATCAATTTATCACAACCCCATCGATTCGCCGTTAACTGTCCTCCAGGTGTTTCTCACTAAAAAAAAATTATGGAATAATTAACTTCAAGTGGGTGAAGTTGCTTATGGGGAAGGAGATGCATCCTACGACAACTGAGACGCTGACGCCTCTCAGCTCTCGATTGTATTCCTTTGAAACGTGAATTTGAGGCTGTGTGTATGGGTCGACACCAAGTGGCATTGGACGCAGCGGTAAAGCCGGTTCCTCCGTACAATTTCGAGGGCAAACGTTCCTCAACTCCCCCGCACCTTCCCTCCTCCGCTCTCTTTCATTATCTCTACCCTCATCGTTCCCTCTCCCTCATGCTGTCGGAAATAAACGTTAAACAAGATGCAACAAAAATGTCCGAAAATGCGATCAAGATCGGTCCATTTTTTCATCGAGAAATTTCAACATGTTTCTGTCGATGTTTTTTTTTTTTACTAAAAACTACATTTTTTCCAACATTTTCAAATGAACAGTTTAATGTTTTTTTTGTTTATGTTTTGAGAGTTTTTCTGGTTCAAAGAGAGGGAGGGGGAAAGAGTGTAGAAAGGATTTCTTTGAACTTTTTATCTTCTTTGAATTTCCTCGGGCTTTTTATTTACCTTGAGCATTCGCCTTCTATGGACCTCTATCACCACCAAATACGGCTTCTTTTCTTTCACGTTTGACTCGTATTTGTGCAGTACATCGAGAACCGGTTGTTACATATCGATATGACACACTTTAATGCACAAAATTAATTTGTCAGTTTTCCAAACTTTCTTTGATTTTTCTAAAAGAGAACAATTAGTCTTTGAAAAATGATTGCTACTCACCTGAAGTCACTGATGAACCGGATGTGTCTGTCTTTCCGATTTTCCTTCAATTTCAGCCGTAAGGAAAATCCAAATTATCGGCTCAACAAAATGTTCACATTTTTTAAAACCAAAAATCACTAAAAATTGACTCTCATAAATTGTTTGCAAAAGTTTTGTTTACCAGAGAAAAACAGAAGTGTCAGCTTTAAATTTTCCAAAATATTTTTGTGCGGAAAAAAAAATTCTTTAAATAATTTTTTAGTTTAAAATTTTCAAAATCTTCTATTTCGAGCTGTAAAATTCGATTCTAAATTTCATTCGGAATATTTCGACTTCTTGGAAATAGCTGAGACCGGATGATGTCACCGTTTGTCATTGATTACAAATTGTACCGGTGAGAGGATAAATGTACCGTTGTATATCTTCTCGTTCCATTGATTTTACCAATAGTTCCATTATTTATCTAGCGTTCACGGTTTTGTTTTGGCTCAAAAGAGTCTCAGGTAAGCGATGGGGCAGTACTGAAGTCTCTGATGGACGCTAGTCGGAGGTTACGGGGGCCCTCTCGTGGTGCGTGTGGGCCTATTGGGGTCCACAGTGGGGACTCGTTTCGCTGCTTGACCACGTCAGTCTTGCCTGGGTGGACTTGAACGACTTGGACTCTATTCTTTCCTCCCCTTTTTTCAACTGTTTTATTCTTTCGTTTTGAAAATCAAGGGACTTGAAGAGGAAATTCACTAATGGGAAGACGAGTTTCTCACCGAGAGTTTCCTCTTCGTTTTTCGTTTCTCATTTGAGAATACTTACATCAAAAATGTCCTTTGTTGTCTCTACGGATTTTGAGGGATGACTGAAGATGAATGGGAAAAAAAGAGTTAACAAGGATAATGGCAATATTTCATAGATTTTGTAGAGCGTAAACGCATTCATTTCTTTTTTTTTCCTTTCAAACCCTGATAGATCAAATCCAGAGTCAACTCTGGGTCAACCCTGGGTTTATGGAAAAAAACCCAGCGAAAAAAGAGAAACTGGCAAATTTCCCTAAACTCAGAGTTTTTCTGAAAGGAAAATAAAAATGTCATCGTTATTCTTCGGTCATAGCCGTCTCCATAAACTGATTATGATTCTGGAAAGATGACATTTTTCGGTGTTGCCTCAGAAATGAAATGCAGACCTTCCACTCATAATTCCTAAGAATACAAATTTTCAAGATAAGCATGATATAGATGTCGCATCCTGAATTTACTACTATATTCTATCTTTAGAATTACCAGGCCCCTTTTTTTCAGACATAGTTACGAATCCCAAACATCATAATAAATCTCTCAGCTTTCGAATGCAATGCTTCAATTCTCTAATACCTTGTCCTTGAAAATGAATCCTTGATTGCGGATAATGAACATCGATGGCATTAACATATCTTTCTTGATATAGTTGTTGATCGATCAACTAACAATGAGCTGCTGAGTTTTTTAGCATTCGTTCACCATAGATTGAGAGAAAATAAGCAGGGGGTCGAGTCTATTCGGCAGAAGGCATGCGTTATTTTTTTCTTTTAATTTTCACCAATTTCATTGGTAGTAAGTCTCCGAATGGATCCGTTGCAATTCCATTTCAAAAATGAGAATTGTTACTAAATTCTTGGCAATTCTTATTAAATTTTCAGATGTTATTCGACAGATATTTTCATAAAGATATTTTGGTGCTGAAAAACATTAGTTCAGTGAACTAGCTTTCGAGATATTGAGAATGAAGTACAAGAAGATATGACTTTTGAAAGTCATCTCCGTGTGAAAATCAATGATAGAACAACGATATATAATTTTTTTAGAAAAAAGCATTTCAATATCAATTGCTGCTTCAAAAAGTATTGAATCGATCAATCTGAAATTTTACACAAGAGTGTAACTCAACGATAAAAATTAGTTCTCAATATTTTAGAGTTTCACTCATGTAATGAAACAACCTTCACGCATGTAATGAAACGTCAAAGAAACTTCCAGATAAAAGTCGACGGAATACAGCAATATCTCGTAAACTCGTTCATCGAGATGAACATTTTGAAAAAAAATGAAATCGGATGAACAGTTTTCGAGATACTTGATAGTAGAGTTTTATACACTGATAGAAGCACCTAAATCGTTCCACCTTTTTTATCATGCAGTGTCCAAAAAATTGAATATCTCCAAAACTACTCATTTCATTTTTCCCATCGGAAATCTCAGCCTGTAATATAGTAAAGGCTAGAACTCCATCAAATTTGAACATTCTATCTCAAATTTTTCGAGTTATCGTGCCCACACCGATTTTATCACAAAAATGAAGAACATAAATTATTGTATGACTCGCCCTAGCTAGGTAACATTTTGATGCATAAAAAAGTTCATTTGGTGAAGCAGTTTTCGATATGTTTAGAAAAAAAAATTTTTGGAAAAACGCTGTATGTATCTGAAAAACTAATGAGAGAACCGGGCTGAAATTTCACGGAGAAATGCCCCCAAACAATACCAATTATGGGCCAAAATTTCAAATTTTTAGCTATCACTTTAGTTCTTTTTGCTCCTGAATGGAAGCTTTGTATTTGTTGAATTTTGAAATTTTATAATTTGCTCGGAAATGACGTATGAAACGTAAAGAAAAGATGTTTCTTACAACATACCTGTACGTATGTTTGTGACAATTTCGGTTTTGGGTGATTGATTTTTAGCAGAAGCGTCATAAATACGGTAAAATTCATAGATGAAATTTTGGTATATGATGGTTATAATAGGGAACTTGCATAGATTCCACTTTTCGAATATTTTTAAATGAATAGAGTCTTTGTAGTCTATGAACCATTCCAGAGTAAAAAGTTTTCCGAAAGGGGGTCTGGATATTTTGTAATAACTGATTAAAAATGCATCAATTTTGAACACTTTGGGGTCATGACGTCAACTCACCGGAATCAAGTTCCCCTTGCGACTATTAGGTGTATAACTTAATCTTTCCGTTTTTTTTCATTGAGTGCGTGAACCTTACTGTTTTTAATATGCTATACGTCATGCCTGGAAGAACTGTGTAACTTCACAAAACAGTAGTATATACAATGGCGACCGACACGCAGCACATTCGGCGCTGTATTCTCTACGAGTTCCAACAAGGAAAAAAAGCCATTGAAGCCCACGATTCGATTTGTTCTACTCTCGGAAGTAATATTATGTCTTATGATACGTGTAGATATTGCTATAAACGCTTTAAAGATAGTGATTTCGATCTCAGTGACCGGGAACACCCTGGACATCCTCTGAAATTTGAAGATGCTGAATTGCAAGAATTATTCGACAAAGACTCAATGCGAACCCAAAAAGAGCTTGCAGCTCAGCTAGGAGTTACACAAGCAGCCGTCTCTAAATGATTACACGCAATGGGAAAAATACAAAAGGTAGGAAGATGGGTTCCACACCAACTTTTTTGCTGATTCCAAATGGAAAAAGTCATGGGTGGATCCCGGACAACCATCGACATCCACTCCCCAACAAAAAATTCACATGAAGAAGGTTCTCCTCTGCATCTGGTGGGATATGAAGGGTGTACTCTATTACGAACTTTTGGAAACGGGTCAGTTACTGCAGTACGCTACAGTCGACAATTGAACAAATTGAGCGAGGTACTTGATGAGAAGAAGCCATTTACTGGGCAAGGGAGCCGGAAAGTCATATTGCTCCATGATAACGCTCAACCTTATGCTGCTCGCGCGACACAGAAAACGATTTTAAGCTTGAGCTGGGATGTTGTCCCGCACGCGGCTTATTTATCGGACTTGGCCCCTTCCGATTACCATCTGTTCCGGTCCATGCAGCACGCCTTGGAAGAAAGGCGCTTCCAAACTCTGGACAATACACGAAAATTCGTCGATGACTTCATCATCTCAAAGCTTGCAAGTTTTTTTCGCGATGGCATTCGTATGTTGCCCGATCGATGGCGCAAGGTCATCGAAAACGATGGACGATATTTCGAGGATTGATCTGGTATTTATATATTTTATAATGTTATACATATTTTTCCCCTTAGAATAATCCGTGACCGTAACGCTGATCTTTTTCCGTGTTCTGGCGCTCATTCCGAACTCCCTCTTCAAAGAACCCCATATATTTTCTGCTCATTAGAAAGCTTATTAAATGAGCTTCAAATTGACATGTAGGTCATTTGATTATTATCATTCTTCATCGATTTAAGCAACTTTCAGTCAAAAATTGTGTTTTCGTGTTCAACTAAAAAATTCAACTTCGAAAGGATTTTTCTCTCCTTCCAACTTAAATCTATCGTAAAATTGGAAGATCAATCGAGCCCGCCGAAGACGGGCGACGATCGATCGATATTATACGAGTGTCTCGCCCGAGAGACTACGAAGGTAGTAACGTTAGTTGAGCCTTGCAAGTCACAAACTTTAAAACAATATAAAGTTTAAATTTTTTCCAAAAGCTCGCGCTGGACGCTCCGTGGCGCCGTGCGCGGCCGCTTGGTTCATTTCGTTTAAAGTGTGGAACACAAAATTTGTTGGTATTGGGGAAGAGCCCTTCGGCGGGCTCGATTGATTTTCCAATTATACTTCGTGTCTCGCCCTTCGAGATTACGAAGGTAGATCTTTAGAGCATATCTACAAATTTTGTTATTAATTTTATTTCTTTGGATTTAACACTGTTTTGGCGAACTTATTCTCGTTAATCATAACTGGTCGACAATAGAAGTCAGCAAATACTTTTGATTTTGCCGACCAACCTGCTACTCTGTAAATCTCATCAATGCTGACGCCTTGGTCTGCTGCTTTTGATGTCGCGGCATGTCTGGTGCTATGTGCCGTGAACTTTTCATCTACACCAAATTGA